ACCCTTTCAGTTGAAGCAGTTGTGTTTGCATGGCTGTGTTTCGGTTTGAAGGGTGGGATATAGCGTGAATTTACTGGGTACAGAGGAATAACATCTGAGTGCACTGCACTTTTATTGCATTTCCCAGACGAAATAGTCACCTAATAGTTATTATTATTTTGCGTTATAATTGTGTTTAAAAAGTTCACCGCTTAAGTTTAGTTATGTGGTCCACTTTTTTGGAAATTTTTTGATAGTTCCTCAAAAACAGTGCAAGTTAGAAACATGAAAGTTTTCTCCCGCGAACACTCAGGTTATGGAATGAGCTCCCTGCCGAGGTTTTCCCAAGAGACTATAGCATGGGGTTCTTCAAAAGGAGGTAAAGAGATTTCTTCAGGGTCGGCGATGCGCGCGTAATACCTCTGGCATTGTAGGCGTTCATAGGCTACGGTAACCGCTTACCATTAGGTGGGCCGCATGCTTGTTTGCCACCTCAGTAGTATAAAAAAAAACATTAAATTTTTCCGTACCGTTTAATATTTCCTGTAATATTCACAAATACCTTTATAAACTATGATTATTTCTGAATTTTCGTTTCACAAACTTTAGAGAAAACGGTGGGAGAGGAAATTTAGTACTAGTAAGATAATTTTCAAATTTTGAATGGGGTATTCAAAAATTTTTGGACTCCAAAGAAAATAGAAATATTTTTTCAATTATTTACATCACAACATGTGTGGTCCAACAATATATAAAATTATTCTAAATTTCAAATCGATAGCATTAGTAATTGCTAAGATATAGCTCTGTCACAGAAGGACGGACACACTAAAACGTATTTCACCGTAAGAGTTCTTCTGTACGTTTTTAGTACGGAATTCTAAAAATTTATTTTTTTCCATATTCACGCGTCATAATAGCTACATACATATATAGCTAGTACCTATTAGGTAATTGACTAGAAGTATCTATAAGACAGGTTATTGTTATCTTAATATTATCAAAAGGGTACATTATTATATGATTAACTTTCTCATTTTCACAATGTTTATTATATTGTCATGTTAAAGAATAGCTTGTATAATATGACAATGTGGTACATATATGGATAATATGCTTGTATAACTCTTTGATAGTTTGGTGCGACCGAGTTATGCGATTTGATACGCCTTTTAGTAAATTAGAGGTATTATCATCGTGAATCTACGATCAACAATACAGTTTAGATGTCCAGTCGTCAAATATGGCTGAACGAATACATCTCTATTACGAAGTATTTTTTTTAATAATACGAATATAATACGAGTACTTCGATTTATAATTTGTTTTTAAATTTTAAGTTATACAACGCTACTTATCTGTTAATTATTTTATATATATTTAATTATATTATTTAATTTTTTTTAATTAGTTGGATAATGCCATATTCAACTTATATTTAATTCAAATAAATAAATAAAATAATTCAAAAAGAAGGACGTTCTCAATTCGGTTGTATTTTTTTTTTATGTTTGTCGAACTATTTCAGAAAATTCCTTTTCTGTCTAAGGAATATACTTATAGGTTGTTTTCATAGAAAATTTATCAAAACCGGTTTAGTAGTTTAATGTTTAAATAAAAAATTAACAAATTTTACCACAATTGAAGTCGGTTGTTTGTGGAACACAATTTTAAATATTATATGTATTTTTTTTTAATTGATAAAAATTCTAATATAATATATTTTCAGAAATACGTAAGAATACCTACTTTATATAATTTGATATTATTTTAACCCCATTACTTTTTGTTTAATTTGTTATGTAAAAATAAATACATTTAAATTTGAATTTATCTATTTGGTATTATTGATCGATGCCTCTAATGGACAGTAATGAAAGGGTTCATTCCTAATCTGACTAAATGAGCAGTTTGAAAGTGTGTGGGCTAAAGAGGCTATTGTTATTAGTGATACATACTTATATATAAAGCAATTGCAAAATGTACAAAGTTAGGCATTTTAAGTTTTTTTTTTTTTATAAATGGCTAGCTTTTTACCTGATACTTTGTGATATTTGTCTGTCTGTCCGTGATGATTGTCTGATAAACGAATTTTATACGATTAATAATTTGCGTTTCAAAAAAGTTTTATCGAGCATAATTAAAGATACTTTCAATTATTTTATTTCATATATTATCATTATGACAAAACCCGTTATTTTGATATAAAAAGTAAAGTATTAAACCGATTTGGATAACATGTTTATAGGACTAATCTATAAGTTCTTTTAGATAAAAAATCTAAATTGGCTTAGAACTAACGAAGTTACGAGGTAATACACATAAAAAATACATCCGAACTGAAAACCTCTGTCTTTTTAAGTCGATTGATAATAATAACAGTTTTATCTTTTATCGTGTAATTTAATAAATATAATTTTTAGATAACCTGTTTTTGTATATATTTTAGATTACTTTTATAATTCACCTTATTAGCGATCCCGCACGATTTTCTAATATTTCAACACAAAATCTGCTCCCTCCAACACGTCGGAGTAGTTTGGATCCTGAATCATTTTGAAACTGACTCGACGATTGGTAATTTACGAAAATTACACGAATTTATATCTTATTTAGTTAGGATTTAGGCATTCTACGTTCGCGTATTACTGACGTATTTGAGTCACAGATGCACGGATGTTGTAGGTTGCAAAATTTCTGCAAAGACACGAACTCATAAACTTTTACCTCGCGACCGTCGACAAATAATGACCGCATATTATACCCCTATCGTGTTACGTGGTACAGTCAGCAACAATGTTGTTGCTATATATATGTAGTATAATGGGAATTTTATGAACTTACTACGTTTGTCGTTTTCGACAAATATTTCGTCTTAATCTCTAGTGAATTGCAGCCCGCCGTGTGAGTCGAGATGCTGTGACGCAAAGTATCGTACTCCCCCCGAAGAAGATTTCTAGATAAATAGACATAGTGGTTCCATGATATGGTATGGCTTTGATCTCTGTGATTGACTACTACGATGTCTGACTCTGGATTGCAATCAGTTGACTCATCAAGAAAAATTTACTTTTTAGAGACTGCGTAAAGTCAAATTATTTAAACTACGTTCTAAACAAAAATCCAAACGAATTTTTTTTTATACAATTTAGAATGGCAAAAAAGCAAACGGCCCACCTGATAGAAAGTGGTAACCGTCGCCTATAAACATGAGCAGTAGCATGGACATAACAGAGTATACTGTTTCGCCCATGATACTCCCCATGCGTTGCCACTCCTGAGGACTCAGGTATTATTCCTCTGTACCCAGTAAATTCACGCTATATCCCACCCTTCAAACCGAAACACAGATATGCAAACACAACTACTTCACGGTTGAAACATGAATGGGACAGAATATTTTTCAATTTGGGTATAATTTAGGTATACCATATACAGGGTCTCCTAAAATATTACACTCTTTGATTCCGCAGTCAGTTAACCGAGATGAGAACCTCTTGAATCTGACTCAAGTGCCTTATATCTATTGAAAGCCTAAGTTTAATTATCTGCGATTCATCAAACGCCGTGTAATAACGTGTAAGCATATTTGTTCTCGACTATACTTGGATGCGGGTATGTATGTTACCATGTTGATGAGAGCACATACATACATATATACCTTTAATGACAATCCGCTGCAATTCACTCAATCACTGCCAAGCCAACATTTGAATTAGGATTGCAATAAGATGTTCCTTATTGATATCTTTATTAATATTATAAATGTGAAAGTGAACTTGTTTGTTTGTTACTTTATAGCGCTTTAACAGTTTAAACAATCATTATGAAGTTTTGTATACACGTACTATATGGGATGGACAAGGATGTAGGCTACTTTTTATTCCGATCTGTAATAATATTGCAGTCACGCGAACGAAATCGCTGGTAAAAGCTAACATTAAAAAAATCTATAGGATGAAATCGGAATCGTTAGCGTTCTATTGAAGGGAGCATTCTAAAAACCGAAAATGACAGATGTTGCTAATTAAAGGATTTTTTTTTTATTCTTTATATTAAAGATTATTTTGAGAATCTCGAATTCTCAAAATAATAAGCCACCCACTCTTTTCCCGTGGGATGACACCCACGGGAAAAGAAGGGGTGGCTTATATAGTGAAGAGACGACTAAGGAATTATTAGTCGAGGTAAGGGCAGCAACATCTTTCTTAAAATATCACCAAAATGCTAACTGCGGTTGCAAACCCTTTTTTTAGCAGTGGAAGAAATCTCTTTTAGAGATAAGTTCGCCTTTGCTAACATTGTTATTAACTTATTGTTGTTACTGTATGTTTTAATGCAATAAAGAATATATATATATATATATATATATATATATATATATATATATATATATATATATATATATATATATATATATATATATATATATATATATATATATATATATAATTAACGGCTGATATCTACTTAATGATGATCTATACTGATATAAACCGGATTTTTTTTTGTATATTTAAATAAGCTAATTTCTGAACTACCAGTCAAATTAGAAAAAAATATTTTTACTTTCGATATTTCTCGAGGAAAGTTACAAGTTGTTAGACTTCGTGTTACCAACACGAGCAAAGCCGCTGTATACAGCTATAACTTTATACCGGGTCAGTGACAGTGATAACTGTAGGTAATTATAAAACGGAGTTCAATTTGTATCAGTTAAAATTAATGTGATAATTTTATACATCCAACAACTCAGCAACATTTTAAAGCACCACCGTCGCTTAGGACTATATATCTATACAAATCCTTGCAATTTAAGCTTCGCATGAATGTGTATGACTCGGCTTAAAAGATTCTCACGATCATCACCTCTTACTAGCGAATACTTAACACGATTCTCTGCTTTTGCTTGATTATATATTATTTCTCAATCATTAATATATAGCTATCAAATCTTTGTAGCTATTATATGTATATAAGAATCATTACATTTATCAAGGGCTAAGTAAGAAAAAAACATGTTCATTGGATATAAAATTTAATTATCGAGTCAAAAAGTTGACTCACGATATTGCAAATAACAAAAAAAAAAATATACAACACCAGCAATATTGAGGGTAGATAGGTACAGTATGAGTAATATAAACCGATTCGAAAGATAGTGCAGACATAAAATTAGCATTGATTGATGTAATTTTAAAATAACAGTAAATACCAATTAAAATTAATATACAATACATCATTATATTATATAATATAGCAACAATACAATTTTATACCTACGGAAGCCAAATTACAAAAATATCGAATTTTATTAAATTCCTAACGTTCCAATACGTACACATTTCCTAAATTTAATGCGCAATGCATTTAAATAACATAATAATATATGAACATCACTAAAACTATATCCGTACGTCTAAGTTATGGTATTTCTTAAAATAATTCTTCTGGCAAAGCATAACATTATGGTTCATTCAAAAACCTTCATTTCACCTATTCTTTACTACAAAACGTAACCGTGGTACAAAGCTCACTGAGATTCCTAAAAATGTACGTATTTAATTTAATATTACTTTTGCATAATATGTATATTGTATTATTGATTAGCACCACTAACTTACCAAAGGCAAAATATTTAATTCATATATCTAGGTGGGTATCAAGGCTATATTTAAAATAAGAACCTGGAATAATTGTTACCATACCAATGCCTTATATTGTTTTAATCAAATCACATTTTTTTTTTTTAAATATTTTTTACGTAATCATGCAAAAAACATATTGTAAAAATGTTAAGTTGTCTTCAAATTTCTTAAAGACAAATCATTTTACTAGTACTTACAATGAACGATACCAAAAAGATACGAACTAATAACACTGTACTAATTATTCAGTCAAAAGAGTTTGAAATTTTATTTTATAATAATTTCATTTCTTAGTACATTCTTAATACACTATAATTTAAAATTTCGCCAATATAAAATTTAAGGTTTAATACAATATTAAAAGTGATCGACTTTAACAGCGACTGTGTTTAATGTTGTGGTAGCGGGCAGATGTATTTGATCCCAGTCGGTGCTAAGATGTGCCTCAGTGTCAGTGGCCTTGATGGTCAATCCCAGGGAAGGCACGGCGTTGGCACAGTGCGGCAGGCGAAGGGTTACAGGTCTTAGGAATACCAGACCTTGCGGGCCACACATAACCAGTGGGGACAGCATCGCTTCACCTGTTTTGGCGAAAATATGTTCAAATGTCTTGTAAGTGCACTTTGGAACAGTCAAAGGAAAGACTGTGAATTAGATATTTTAAAACAATTAGTAAGTAACACATTTAAGTAGTGAAAAAAATTGTAAATTTATAAAATCTAATCAATAAAAGGTGTAGAAAGTTGTGATAATTAAATGTTTGGTGCAAAGTTGTGAGTTAAAGGTAGTTTGGTGGTAATAATGAACTTATTAGATTTAAATTGTGTAAATAAAAACATTAAGGTAGAATATTCAACACACAAACACAAATCGCAACACGTTAATGCATTTTGTTAATCATGCAAAGCACAGATAGAGAAGACAGTATGATACAAGTGTATCACTAATCACTGAAGCAATAATCATTGAAAGAAAATATTTTAGACAAACTCCGTAAAATAGAGAGCGCAAATATTTTTAAGCCCAATGCAAAATTAGGATACTGTTAAGTTCGTCTGTGTGTCGTAGCATCATAGGTTCCAAAATGACTAGTTTAATTGAGATAGTATATATTTTTGTTGAAAATGAGTTAATTTATTAGAAGTGTCTTTTTTATTCTCGTAATTGATACCAATTAAAAAATACAAAAAGTAAAAGTATCAAAGTAAGATAACAGCACACTGCACAGTAAAAACGAAGAAGCAAAAATAAATATTTTGATAATCTTTGAGAACAAACAAACACGGCACGAAAAACATTATTTGTTGCACAATTATATACAGTGCACAAAATGATGTGTTCATAAACATATAACATACGATTATATAGTTGGCTGAACGTTGCAATATCGTCTTCTTCTCTCCTCTATCTCTAAGTACGAGTGTATTGTGCGGTAGAAGCTGCGCAAATTAAACGCTTCGTATGATTTAGGGCCCTTGTTAGTTACATATATTAATATAAGTGCTAATTATTATGGCATTAATATATATGTTAATTATATAAAAAAAAACATGCACAATAAAATTAAATGATCTGTACATTAAAATTAAAGGTTACTTGCTATTTTATAAAAAAATATAGAAGTATATAAAATAATTATAATAGATTATAATCCGCATGCCATAAATAAACTTCATGCAATGTAAAATTTACAAAACAACAATTTCTATATCACAACAGATATCAGTGCCTGCAGTTGCAAAATAATTCACATTTACGACACAATTCTCAATTCTGTATTTTCATTAGCAAACGTTAATGGCCAATTAGTAAGTGCTGTCTACGATACTACAGTGAGCGTGCCCCATTATGAAAGCATTACCGTTGTCCATATCGATCGGAGGTCCCCCCACTCGCTGGCTGAGCCTTGGATCTGACACCGTAAAATATATCTTTTGCTTGATCCCTGGAGCAATCGCTTTAGGGGGTATAATTAAAGATACGCCCCATTGTCTGTCTTCTAATACCCCACCTTCACTATCAAATATGCCCCAAGTAGTATGCGGCCCGTCGGGTTCAACGTCATCTGTTTTGTTATCAGGTTCTTTTTCTTCAGATGTAGCTGCCTGTACAGTTATATTCTGATTGATAACTGTGGTGTCGTTCTGACTATTAGACATATTTTCAGAATTGTCTTGGCTAACCTCTGGACTTTTTTCAATAATTTTATCACAAAAAGTTACAGTTCTATTAGATTTGGAAGATCTTTCATTTAAATCCTGCGATGTATATGGAGTACTCTGTGGTTTATTTTCAAAATTCATGCTACATTCAGAAGCATAATGGGTCTCCATTGATGTAGTAGATTCATAAGGAACAGGAGAAGTAGTCACCTTTAGAGCATTAGAAATGTGATCTGCCTTACCGTGTAACCTTGGTGCATACATCGGTTCACCTTTCAAAACGTTTGCATCGTTATTTAGGGATTTTTCTTTTTCCGCATCAGTTTTAGAATCGGTTAATCTTAATTTTGAGAAGTCAATCTCTTGGAATGTTTCCTTTTCTAATAACGGCGTTTTATTTTGCAATTCTGATTTTGATTGATATATTGGTTCTCTTCGTGATAAGTGATTAGCATCGCTTAATTCATAGGGGCTACTTCTTTCACTACTGTCCTGATCAACTACTTGGGGTGGTTCTTTTGTTTCCTGGTGGGATTCGTAAATAACACTGTCTTTTAATTCCCTTTTTGAAACGTATAGTGGTTCTCTTATTTTTGCTGCATCACTTTCATTAGATTCTTTACGCGTCTGATATATCATATCTTTTTTTGCTTGATTTCTTTGTTTTATTATTTCCAATTTTTCTTCTAATCTAATACCGTAACTAGATTCTTTGCTAGCTAATAGAGCTGCCTTTTGTGATAAAATTTCTTGTTTTGATACATATGTGCATTCTGCTGATGCCGGTCGTATTTCATGTCTGAATTCAGACATTTCATTTGAAGTATTATATTGAGTATCAGAACAACTTGATTTCACTTCAGATCTGGTGGCATATGGAGATTCTGTCTGGCTTATCCTTTCTAGCATTTCAGTCCTTGTAGCATATGGAGGCTCACTCATACATTTACTCATAGGCGAAATTCTACCAGGGAAATTAATAGGAGTTTGCACCCTTCTATCAGGTCTTATAGCATAAGAATTTTCAGACCACGATGTACTAGGTGGTGGATCATAAGTTTTTCTACCATAAATAGGTTCTTTACATGTAAAAGAACCATCCATTCGTTGTTTCAATAATTCATCTTTTGTGTTATAAGGTGATTCTGAAAATCTTTGCCGTAACATTTCTTCTTTTGTTGAATACGGACTTTCAGATATATTTCTTTGCCGTATCATTTGTTCTTTACTAGAATATGGCGATTCACTGTAAAAAGATTCAGAATGTCTTATCACTTCTTGTTTAGTTGCATATGGACTTTCTGTTTTCATCTCATGTCTTGTCGCATAAGGACTTTCCCTTACACATTCAGCTTTAGTAGCATAAGGAGGATCTAGTAAAGGCATAGCCATGGTCTGGGGATTCCCGTAAGGGTTTTCATAACTGTGAATGGATACTTCAGACCTACTTGCATATGGATTTTCACTAGATGTATCATATACGGAAGTGTAAGTTCTTCTTGGCTTTGGAATAGGGTCGTAAATAATATGATCTTTACTTTGGTATATTGGTTCTGGAGGTAGTGGTTGTGTAGGATGAAATGGTTCGTGTTTTATTTGCTGTTGTCTTTGGTAAATAGGATCTATTTTGGTAATCATATTAAAGCTGGATGTTTGGCCATAAATTCCTCGCCTATTATAATCAATGAGAGAATTCTGTCTGCGTAACAATGGGGTAACTTTAGGTTCGGTTTCAATTTCGCACATAGAATTTTGTCTCCTCAGATTTTTGATGACAGGCTTGGCGTCGTAATCTCTAACTGTACATATGGATCCATTTCTGTCATCACAAAACGAACTTTGTCTTTTCAAAATAGGCTTTAGAACGGGCTTCTCACAAGATGACGAGTTACTTCTTTGCAACATTTGATTTCGGATTTGCGTATTTCTCATATGTATGCTCAAATCGCCCAGGTCTGACTTCTCTCTCCTGAGCATAGGAGCTTGATAGATTGGTCTCTGTTGCAAGTCACTTTCGCACAGTGACTTCTGTCGAGACACTTTTTGCGAATTTTTCGTTTTCGAACGGAAAAGATCTAATACTGCATTTTTAATGAACGATGGCTTTTTGGATAATTTCTTTTTAGTTTTTGGCGAAAATGTCTCGTCGCGCTCCACACTCGAGTTCACGACATCGGACGAACTGCGGAAACCCACAACCAAATACCCACTTAGTTACTCAATGATTTAAATATGGACACCTCAGATGATTCAGTATTTAATAATACCGCGGTATGATGTGTTAGGTATTTTAGAAAAAGGAAAATAATGAAGAATCTGAAATGTCACACTGATGACCATTTTTTAAATGAATTTTGTGATTCTGTAAAAAGCATATTGAAATAAATGACGAAGAAATGTAGATGAAACAAAATAAAAATAAGAAAAAGATAAGTATGTTTCCTGATATGGATGATATACATAAATTACTAAATATGTGTACAAATGAAAGAAAACAATAAAGTAATTTTAAAGAAAGTAGAAAACAAAATTAAATGATGTATGAGTAAAGTAAAGGATATAGGGATATTTTAATTCAATATGCTTTTATTTAAATCATCAAGTTGCACTAAAATGCAGACACGCACTGCCAATAATCGTTTTGATATGAACAATTCAAAACATTCTAAATAACAATTACATTATCTATGATGTTATTACAATTTACAGACTTACGCCCAGATATACAAATAAGTATATGTTACAAAATATATGTATAATGTTTATAACCATACAAATAACCATAACTAATACTGTGGCCCGACAAGACATTGTTAGTCGTTTGTGAAGCGATCGGTGTTTGCATGTTAGAGCAAATTGTACAGGGCTTTAAGATATACTAGAAAAATCCTAGATTCTAAAAATCACAAATTTTGGGAACATGCATCTCGAAATGTATCTTTAAATGTTTAAATTCTTTCTATAGATGGATCGTACATTTTATACGCTTTTAAGCAAAAGATTGAGAATTTAGACGAATAAGTGGGGTGCTATTTTAAAAATACCTAACTCTAGTGCTGTGAATATTGTCACGTGGAGAGAGAATTGACCTACCTCAAGTTATGCATGTGTTGTGGTTTTCTGTATAATTCAAAAGCTGAACCGCGTTGTTCTCTGCTACCAGCTAAATCTGTTAAAATAATAAATATTTAAGAAGAAGAAAAAGAAACACGCCAATAGGCCTAACCTTTATTATGTAACTTATTGATTTATTCCAACTGCGAGTATTAGAATTATTATAATTTTCCAAAATATGAATAGCTAGTAGTATGCTGTCTTAATCTTGGATAGCCAATTTTGTTATCAATCAAATCAGTTCAGTAGCATAAACTTGATCTAGAAATAAACATACAAACATCTTTACAAACTCACATTTATAATATGAACAAGAATGAATATTATTATAGGATTGATTAAGTATTTAAAGTATTTATGTAATAAAATTATTTATAAAATAAATGCTATCACACTGTTCGCCAATTTTTTTTTTATTCTTTATTGACCATATTTGCTTTTAATTTATTGTAATTTTTTATTTACGTTCATATTATGACAACGAACTTTATGTGTGTGATAAATTATCTATAATAACATACCAATGAGATGTGGATTGTGTGGCAGGTTTATGGCGCGATGATGTGACGGCGGGCCGGAGTAAGGCGGTGACTGCGGAGGCATCTGACCACCATACATATTTTGCTGAAAAAATATTTGATTTTTTTGTTCTGTTTTCCTTATTAATCGGGAAGGCAAAAGGATCACGCTTATACAGCTGTTGTGTACAGTTAATTTCTGGTATTGATTCTTTTCCGTTTTGGTAGATCAAATTTCTTCTAATGTTAAAAATATTTGCTATTAAGATTTATTGCTGTCTAGTTCAGTATTATATATTTTTTTAAATCGGTTTAGTATTTTTAAATCCATCAGTTACTTACAATTCATGATTACTATTTGAAATGAAAAAAATAATATTTTCTCTTTATAATATTAACTTAGATACATTTTAGTCTGCAATATAAACTTTACCTGCTGGTAGTTACTGTGCGAGTGAGAGGGACGATGTGCCGGTTGCGAGTGAGAGTGTTGGTGCGAGTAGTGTGGCGGTTGGCCGTAGCCGCGCGCCGCCTGCGCGGCCTGTGCTGCCTGCGCTGCCTGTGCTGCTTGTGCGGCCTGCGCGGCCTGCGCGGCCTGGTGCGGTGACCCGGGGCCCATTTGCCCGCCCGGATTTGGTGGGGGTTCCATATTCTATTTATAATATTTATGTTGAATTTTAATATTGTTTTAATAATTTGCTATTCGGATGTTTCTTTCAGGTAAAAGTAATTATTGTAAATAGACTTTGAAAAGGTTTTCAATTGTCCTTCTTCTTATTTATGTTTGTTACCTCATAACATCGCCAGTTGTAAACCGAATTTGAAAATTCTTTTCTTATTTTTTTTATTTGGAAGGATATTACAGATTGCTTCCATAGAAATTTTAGTTTAGTTTTTAAATTTTTACATATAATTATCCACGATGGTTTGTTTATCGCCTTACGCAACTTGTAATTACGAATATTATTTTTATCACTCGTATTTATAAAAATAATATTGACGAAACTGATATTGAAATAATATGGGAGTTATCCACATTGATTGCAAAAAAAGTTATTAAAATTTGGGGTCTACCGTGAAATGATATTCCGAATGTTCAGACTTAATTTCGCGTTTTCGTTCTCACCGCTATCCTATCCGCCTATTAAATTGACTTAACATTTTGTTCGTCATAAATCCTACCAAACCTACCAAGTCCAAAAGATTGATATTTTAAAATATTTAATATTTTTAAACGATATATATAATGTAATTTCAACATAAAATTTGTGTTGCGTTCGGTACCGAAAGTTAGACTATATTTCATAGTAGGCGCACATAATAAAAATTTATTTAGACACTCATTTTTAAGATGCACAAAAACTTTCTATTTGGATGTCAATTAGGTACTAAATAATACTTTAAATAAATAATTATTTTCATCGGTAAAAAGCATTACCCCATTCCTAGGATGGTGTTGGTTGTCTGGTGGCCTATAGTGTTTGGGCTTCGGCGGTGGTACTGGTTTGTATGGGGGTACCGGGGCCCCACCTCGTCCGCTGTAGTCTGCTTGCGACGCCGAATTCGTTCGCCCGCTATACAATGATCAACAAAGAAATATGTAGACAAAAAGCTAAATATTATTATATATTCTGTAATAGGTAGTTAATAAAATATTAAATAGACTGAATGATTGACAAATAATACACAGGTGTTCCTTAGAAAATTAAGGCATCTACTAAAAAGGAATTGCTTGAAAGTCCATCGGGAAAAGACAGTATTAGATTCCAGTGGCTAAAGTCACAGGTAAAATCTGTTTGTCCGTGTACTTACAGGTATATATCTTCATTTTAGGTTTCTAATATAAAGAGCCATGTTTAAAATAAGCAAATAATCAGATGTAGTAAATATTGATAAATAAAAACAAATTATTTCTATTATTATAAGTATTTTTCCTTTAGGATGAGCAGAGAACATTGCTTGTCACTTGCTAATGTCGTAACATTTCCAAATTCCTCAAAATATTTTAATTAATAAAAAAAAAAAAACAAATTTACCTGTACTTTGCATGATCGTTGGTTGGTACATTGGGTAGTGATGGTCCACGCGCGTGTATAGGCGTATGCGGACTGTTTCCATTCATAGGTGGAGGTCGATTCGTCTGGGGACTTCTGTAGGCCTCCGGTGACCTGTATAATATCGCCCATAACTTTTATTATCTATTTAGATAAATAACTATTGTCCGTTTCAATAGAAATTAATGAAAATGTAAACAAACGAATAATGCACCCAATCATAAGACACAATATGTTTCGATATCTTTACTAATTTTATTTAAAAAGCGTTCAATATTATACCTGTAACTGTTCTCTGAATTCCTATAATCTAGAGAATTGTGCTCGTGAGAATTGGAGTTTCGTTGCGGACTTTGTGTTGCCATATTTGCTGGATTTTGTGGTGGGGGCGGTTCCATTTTGCTGTAATTAACATAATGTATATTAATTTCTACAAAATTAAATTAAAATTATATTATTTTACTAGTATTAAGTGATCTGAAGCCAGAAAGGTAATAATTAATGTTTTATGTAAACGGTTGCTTTCAAGTAACTGTAACATTGTAAAATAAAAAAAAATTGTGGCAAGTTACGAGCGCCGACAGAATTTGAAAACTTGAACAATTATGTGTGTACGTGTATATTTTGAATCGTCAGAGATGTCGGTTACGATAGTAGTGTCGCTCATAATATAATCCTAATAGAGTTCAAAGGTTTTTTCCCATGACAAAAAGTGCCAACATGCATGTGTATCTTTGTACGTACATATTACATATAGATACTTATATAAAAGGGTGTCGATTACGATAACAATGTCATAAGTTCAATGGTTTTTCCCCACTAAAGAAGCCTAAAGAAGTTTTCACTTCAAAAGAAGAAAGCTTACCCAGTCGGTGGCGCCACCTTCAGGTCGTCAGGTGCGTTAGGTGGCAAGCGTCCCATGCCCATTCCATTGTTGCCATTGTATTCATAGGACGGCGTGCCATCATACGAACTTTGCTGTAACAAAAACATTGTAGTTAGATAGTTTAAAATATAGATCTCATGTTTGGTTTAGTTTATAGTTAAAAGACTAAACTAAAAACAAGCGACTACTTCAAAATAGGGTATTACAATGGATTGTATATGGTTTCTATCATTACTAATGAAGGGGTAATTTTTACTTATCTAAACTCAAATTATTCATTATTTTGAAAAAAAAAAAACTCTTCTGGGCACAGTTACCCCGAGAATAGACATATCACAAAGTTATGTATTTATTTATTTTACATATTTTTAAAGAAAAATTAAAAATTATCTAGACGTTATCAATTACCGGATTAGAAGGATGCCTATGTCTATCCAATGATCCTTGTCCTTGCGTAGGCTGAATAATCATACTGGTGGGACGAGCGGTGTACGTGGGGGCTTCATCGCTTCCCCCTCTTTGGGTGGTCCAAATAGACGCTCTTGTGCACTTGGACGGTTCTAGAAATATTTTTAGAATTAATTTGGTTGCATGTGTATTTTGTTTTGCCGTGTGGTCCTGGCATAGAATGGGATACCTTTCTTTTCGCGTTAGGTGTCGTAAAAGATGATTAAGGAAACATAATGAACGAGGAATAGGCAGCAGCGCTCCGCTTAAAACACCATCAAAAGCACAATTGCTGTTGCCAACCTGCTTGCTAAGCGTGGTAACTACTGGAAAACCCAATAGCGGGAGGCTTATGTTCAGCAATGGATAGTTATATGATGTGTTTTATAGAATAAATAATAATTTTACTATTCAAACAAGAATTGATTAAAAACAATGATTGAAAAAGTAAAACATGTATGTTTGTATGGCTTTGTGTCTGTTTGAAGATTGTGCAAACTTTGCAATGCTATGTTTAGATTTGAAGGATATACCAGTATGTATTTTATGTTAGTAATCCTAAATAAGTAAATAAAATATAAAACAAAATACCCTTCAAATCTTATATAGTGCAGAAGCATAACACCTTTTAAGGTACTTTTTAAAACAAAACAACGAACACGAGTTCATGACAAGTTATAGACAATTTTTTTTTTTCATGAACAATAGTCAATGTTGCTATTTCAGTTGCCCTACATATTATGAAACGTGTAAGTTCCTAAGTAAGCGTAAGAAAAAGAATGCTAGTAACTTACAGGTGGGTTGTGTCTGAGAGTGTGCGGAGGACGGCCGGGCGGGGGCGCTGGCAACAGTACCCCGCCAGCCGGCCTGCTCACCGTCCCCCGCGGAGGTAACTCCGGCACAGTGCCGTACAACGGTGAGTGCGGTGGCGAGTGCGTCATAGGATTGCATTGGTACGGCGGTGCGTCATTCACGCCCATGTGTTGATTTTGATTGTGGTTATTCGTGCCATTAGTGTTCGCTGAGAAGCCATATTTACTATCGCCATAACCGCCTTGCTGTTAATTTAAAGTGATAACAATTCACTAGCTAGAAACTTTATATTAATGGTCATTTACAATTTATAATAAAAGAACCTTCCAATAAACAATTCTTCTAGAGAATTTTCAGTATTTTATTATTATTCTACGTACTGCATTATTTTACAATAAATCTGTAACAGTACAGCGATATTAAAAAAAAATACTATGAGAACCCAAGGACGGATTGGCAAATGATTGGAATGAATGCCACACTGCCTCTCTCATAGAATATTAGTAAATTCAGAAGGTTTTAACTTAGTGAGCATATGATATGAATTACGTGTAAATTATACCCAGAGGTTTTCTTTTACAATTTTTTGTAATACTACGACTACATGAAATATTTATATTAAAAATAAAATTTACAGTTTGCACATAATTTCACTCAACTTCAGAATAAATATTAAAATAACGTCTTATGTGTAAAATTACAATAAATATAGAGGAAACCATGAATTGGAAAAAGTTATAGAAAACAAAGACATTAGGGTTATCATGCGGAAAGTTCTTTTAATAAAAAAAAAAAAAAGGTTTTACAAATTTATATCTATTGATTCTCACAATGTATTCATAAGCGATGTGGCGGAAAATAAGATGATCTTGGAAGTATTGATGGATTAAATTTAAGTGAAGTTAGTAACATAAATGGAGATGTGCCGCAGGAAACTTTGTGAAGCGACGAATCTAAATTATGATTTTAAATGACACAACTATGAATAATACCAACCGTGTACGGAGGCGGGACAGCATCAGCCATGTGGTTTATGTCATCGTCCCGGTCCATATTGTCCTGTGTGGTTGCTATCGAGGGGTCTGAAGAAGACTTGACTAATCTTGGAGCTGGCGGTGGACTGACTTCCAGGTCGCTCTCGGGACTCGAAGCGTATGACAATCTGTTCTCTGTACTCGATGTCATTGAGAACAAGAAGTCGTCGGACAACGGCTCGGGTCTCTGTTTGGCGCCAATCCGCCATTACGTGAATGTCGGCCATTTTGTTTCGCGGCGTAGTCCGGTAGGGTGGGTTTATGGAATGGGGTGACAAGACAAGACAAATGAATGATTGGCAGATAATTCGTTACAGAAACTAAAATTGGAGTTTAGCGTCTGTGAATGATTAATGATTTGGATATTTTACACACTGTTAAATCAACATTCAAAGATTATATTTCTAGGTGATATTACAAATGGCCTGTAACTACCTAATAGATGTTCTCATTTAAAATCTTTATTATAATATCGTATCGATTTGAATGTTGATTGTTTAAGTATAAATGGTATTTAACACTGGTAGATAATTCAAAATAAAATTTAGAAATTATAAAGAAATAAACATACACAAAAACAATCATTTAAAACAGAAAAAAAAAACATTAGCAGCAATAAGTATAAAACAAACATAAGCAGATAACTATCATGCTGCGCATATACAATACAATAATATAAAGCAGTAATAAAGAAATGCAGGTTAGATTATAGTTGTGCCTATTCTAATTGGTAACTATAGAAAAATACTATCTCCCTAACTATATGCGAACCTAAACATATCCTAAGTGCTGTTCAGATACAGGTTTATTTATAATAGCTGTAACATCTCTTTCTGCTTCGGCTTTATCACATTTTTCGTTTTTTTCTATCTCTTCTAACTTTAAAGTAGGTAAAGATAGATTCTTTATTTTGTTTAAAGATCTTTCCGAAACTGTAGGTAGAGTTCGAACTTCACTCGAACGCCCCGTATTACTGGTAGATTTCAAATTACAACTGCAATTTGGAATCCTACATATTTGCCTCAAAGGCCTGTCTAATACTTTAACAGTTTGCTTCGGCATCTCTCTTTGGAGCCGTGCCTTCCATTCTGGTACTTCATTAGATTTTTTCACTTCATTACCATTTTGGAAGAACACCGAAGCGGGTCTAAATTGTTCTGTCATAGGAACAACAGATGAAGGTCTTTGCAAATTTGGAATTGGCGATTTCGATGAAGTTTCTAAAACACTGTACGGTCTAAATGTTTGTGGTTGGGGAACGTTGCATTTTGCAAATATTTGTGTAACCTCTGGACTGTTCATTCCAACCTGTAACTTGGGGCTTTGTCTGGTTCTTTGAAAATACACCGGTCTATCATCGTACGGATAGTTAGCAAGGGTGTGTCTATGTTTAGCTAAATAAGTATTAGGCACACTATAAAGGTTGTTAGTCATGCAAGGAGTTAGCGTTTCAGAGTAATAATAAGGCACTAGATGATTTCTATTAGTGTCGTAAACTTGATCGCGGCGTTTCGTGCTTTTGTTAGTGTTAGATGGAGGCATGGTCTGCTGTGAATGTATGGGTCTTTGCGGAGACTGGGGGTAGAAGTTGAGGGGATAGGAGATGGGATAGAAGGCTGGATAAGGCGAGGGAGGGATAGGGAAGTAAATGTCCGACACCAGTTCAACGTGCTATACCGCCACAAGAGACAGAACAGAAATGAATTTGTTAATACATTTATATTGTATGTAATGTAATTGCAATGAAATATAAGTACGATATTATATTAAGCAGCTTTAACAATTTGGCCAAATGTAAATTTTACCAGTGAAAGGAGGGTTGTGTATTTAAAGTTGCTTTTAATAAATGATCCATATTTTGCTAAAATAATTTTGCCCGGATTAAATATTAATCTTAGACTTATAAATTGCATAAGTACACTAAAAATACTAATGCAGTTAACCCGTACAGACATATATACTGTATATACTACGATTACTAAAATGCGATAATGACAATGATTCAAATTCTTTTTCTTTTAAAATAAAAGGAAAATATACAAATAATAATTGTGCTTAATTAAATTTTTAAAATGCTGTTACAGGTACTTTTAATTTACGTAAATTCATTTAAGTCTCCGTAAGTATAAATAAATATATCCATAAATAAGTATAAATTTTTAGGGCATCATTTAATTTTATTTTTTTTAATTGACAATCTTTTGAAAATCATTGAAAAGTCAATGACATTGTCACAGTATAGGCATTGGCATCCTTCAAATACAAGAACCCTCACAGAACAAGAACTTCACTTTTACATTTTCAAATCTACTTTCATAAATTACTAAAATTGTAATAAATACCTATATTTCATTAAACAAATAATAAAATGAAGATACTAATAGTATATTTATATAGCACATAAGTTTACCAAATGCACCAATTTGCCTTTACCAAGCGCTCATCTCGAAGCATGATGCGTTTACTGTCGTGACATATAATTTTGTTAACATCGAACTTAAAAAAGAAAAAAAAAAACATTTAATAACCTTGTCATAGTTTGATAAAGTCTACGAAATGTTTCGATCACAGAACAAAGATTAGATAAAATTGATACAAATATTTAAAAGCAAGAAAACAATAGTAAAGACAGAAAATTGACTTACCAGGGCTCGGAATAAACGCGCTTATTCAGTAAAATAATAAATAATAAAATTTAAAAAATAAATTTACTTTTACTATTCCTAAATGTTTTAAAAATCTAGAACAAACGTTATATAGTTATATAAATAGGCAAACGATTAGATTTACAATTAACTTCCAGTCTTATTTTGATAAATATCAGACAAGCGTATAATCTTACACAAATAATATATATTTAACTATTTAGAAACATATATAATCTTATTTTAATTAACATACTTAGTAAAAATCTATGTCTGTCTGTTTTTTAAATAATAATACATAAAGAACAAATAGCTAATATAATAAAATAAAAAGAAAATTCTTTGTTCTGCAATCCCACCACCCAAGCGACCTTCCATATGTATCCCACGTAGAATCCCCCACAATTACTCACCTTAGTCTCCGACACCCAAAGCTGTTGCTGCTGCGTTCTTTGCACTAGTTCTAACAGTTTGTTGAACCACGTGTTCTGGTTGGCTTCGCTCAGTGTGATAGTGTGCGTGAACACGTGCCCCCACACGCGTTCCATGTGTTGGCACTGTTCTAGAAGCTTCTTTGACGATTTATGGGCGGATCTAAAGGGAATTGATTCAATAGTTACTTCTTGGTTTTTATATTTTGTGTCTTGTGACATGATACGGGACATTGTCACATGTTCAGACTTTTTCCCCATCTATTTGATGTTTATTCTTGAAATTTTAAATAATCCAACTTATTTGATTATCCTTACTTACAAATTTGAAAATGAGTTTTTTTTTTATTACTTTTTGGCGCCCTACCAGCTCAACCAAACATCATGAAATTTGGTAAATACATATAATATGGGATGAAGAAGGATAAAAGCTGTTTATCGTGGTCAATCAAGATATCTTAATTGTACGGAGAAAGTCCCTAGTGTTTCTATATGCTTCATTTACTTATTTCATAGAAATAAGAGGGAAATATAAAGTTGAAACAAGATATTCATTAACAAAATAAACATATACATGAATAGTTGAATTTCTTGCGAATTCTTCCTAGCTGAACCTGTTCACTAAACTCTAACGGGATAAAAAAAATACTCATATAAATAACCAAAATTGTAGTGTATGAATAAATTATTTTAATTTTTTAACTTCCCTTTAAAGAAAATAAAGGTAAAAAATGATAATAAAAAGATAAACTTCACTTACTTTGGCAGGCCAGCTCTCAACTGCTTAATGATATGCTTGTTATCGGCCTTCAGAAATATGACGATGGGGTAAAATTGGGCATAGTTGAGCCTATCCACGGCGTTAGGTGTGATGTCCAGGAGGGCGTGTTTACCTCGCTCCATGATCGTCCTGATACTCGACAGACGGATAATACCGGCCGATTTCGTTTTACTGTCTTCTAATGTGTTGTCCATTTCTAAAGTGGAAAAATAAATTGTTTAAAATACAGTCAGAAAGAGATATGCGATGTGGTAATTATTGGGTTATTATTACCTCGACTTAGTACCTCAATGATTTTGAGTTCAAATTTTACGGGCACAAAATATTGGGTCATTTAAAATGTCACCTATTTCAGATGAGTTAGACAAAATTTTAATTTATACGCTTTGTAATTTAAAAATTGTTAAGAATCAAAGATAAGCGTGGGATGCCAAAAACCGTCTTATGGTGAGGTATCATATACGCGTTCCCGATCACCGTTAAACCTACAAACATTTAATATGATTATTGTATAATAGAATCATCATCTCAGCTATTATTCGTCCACTGCTGGACATAGGCCTCCCTCATATACTATCATAAGAAACGGTCCTGAACCACCAGCATCCACTGACTTCCTACAATACATTTGAGGTTGTCATTCAAGAACTTCTTCCCCATTGGTTATCGGTTCTTCAAACTATGTGACCAGCCCCATGGCCCCTTCAGCTTGCTTATATAATATTATAGAAAATATTTATTCGCTACAAAACAATTTTTACATGACAATTACATAATCATAAATTCAGAATAAAAAATAATATTCAAGGGTCACTATCTCAGCTTAAGCCATGAACAGCAGGCACATTACTCAAGATTAATAACGCTGATATTATAAGCAATCATCATCATCATCATATCACCCTCCTCTGTCCGGGGGGTAAGGGATTGTTAGTAGTGAGATTTAATAGCCTCATTGCTCGCAATACACCCTATCAGGTCGACCTCCACGCGGTTCCTTCTGGAAACTATCGGTGATTAATTCTAGTTGAATTCGTCACGATTGGCTAACTGACCTGCTTTCATCGTCAACCTCACCAGCGTATACCAATAGCGCAGTTACCATTTCATTATCACCCATTGAAAAAAAAACCTCCTCTATTCACTACTGAATATAAGCCTTCCCCTTGGCGGATTTTGCTACTAGTTGCCACGCTTGGCAGGCAAATTGGCAACCCCAGTTAGGCTCTGGAAATGTTTTAAGAGAGACGATATCTTAGTTCTTTCTTACGACATTCACGGGTAAAGAAAGGGGTGGCCTATTCTATGCCGGGACCACACGGCATACATTATAATAGGAATGGATCGATAACAGAGTTTTAAGATATTTGATATTATAGCAGTATATAAATATTGTAACTAAAAATACAAGTCGTCATCAATTCAGTAAGATTTCATAACATCTACTATAGTACAGCATTTATTTGTTAATTTGAAATGTTTGTACTTTCCAGGAACCACCAAAAAGGTACCAGTGTCAACCCTAGACCATTAAGGTTGTTAACCTATTTTCTACTCACTGGGCGAGGCGAACTTGTCAGGGCTGTCAGCTAGCAATCGTTCGCGGGCGACGTCCGCCACCGCGCCAAGCACGATCACGGGCCGCACGAAGCCCGGCTGCTTCAGCACGACGCGCTCGTACGCGGGGAACTTGCTGATACTGTCGGATAGCACCACCTCGTCCCAGTGCTCCTGTCGGGTAACGATAGTTACAATTAGGTAATGCCGCATAAGTTGTGATTTTTTTATAAACAAGGCTATGGTAAGCGGTTACCGTAGCCTATGAATAATAATAGCCTTGCAATAACAGCGAAATTACGTTTGTTTAATATGCTACTAAAAGACTGTTTATTATTAAGGATTGTGTCCTAGAAAAAAAAAAACAACTTCAACTGTGATAAAATTTTTATATACAAACTAAATTACTGGACCGATTTTGATAATATTTCTGTGAGTATATCCTCATCCTTTGTCAGTATATCCTTTCAGATAAAAAAAGAAAAGATTTTTCAAAATCGGTTTAGAACTGACAGAGTTGTGAGGTAGCAAACACAAAAAATATAAAACCGAATTAAGGATCTTCTTTTTTTTTTAAGTCGGTTAAAAAGATATATATAAATATAATAGGTAAGTTTATAAAGTAAAAAAGTAAACTATACCTTCCCAAGACTCTTGCTACGCCTATGCGTTGATCGCCGCCGCCTGAAGAAGTTGTGTTTGCCGTCGTTGCCCGACATCTCCTTCTTGGTCGCGTTGAACTGCGCCGTCGCCAGTTCCTCGGCACGAGCCTTGTTCGGTATCGTGCCTTTTTGTACCTCTTGGTTGTTACGACCTAAACATATTTTGTTTATATAGTACAGAAGGTAAAATACCTGCAGCTTATATTATGCCCTACCATGCAACAGGACATTCCATGCTGATCAGGCGCCATTCACGAGGGCGCTACGTCTGGTCAATGAAGGAGTAGCGAGTTCCGAACTGGACTTTTTTCACTGTAGTGCCACAAAGTTTCGCAGAGCGGTAACAGATTACGCAGAATTGCATTTTTAATGTTTATTTTTTACACCATAATTAGGTATTTTCTTTTTATTATTGTTATTTTTCCATTATTATAACGTTTGATTTTTACTTTTTTGTTAATTTTTTTTAGTGCATTGGTAAATCTGTAAAGTTCACTAAAATATGTTTGTAAAATATATTATAAATAAATAATAATAAATCTCTCAAAGCCTTGTATAATTAAAAAAAAAAAAAAAAATATATATATATATATATATATATATATATATATATATATATATATATATATATATATATATATATATAATTAAAAAAAGCGAGCAAGTTAATACGAACCTATCCTGAAGACCTGCCAAGCACCAACAGTTCCGTTATGTAAAGTGTCCACCACGTGGAAGACATCGCCGCACCGGAACGACATCTCGTTGTCCGTCGGCTCGGTGTAGTGGAAATGGGTCTTTATGTGGAAGGAGTCGCCAGCTGGAAGCCACGAGATAACAACATGAGATGAATTAACAAGTCTTACATTATACAGGGTGTAAGGGACAGGTTAGCAAAAACTGAAACAGTGAATTCAGTCTATTAATCTAAACCGAAAGCCAATGGAAATTCTTTACGGAAAAATTCAATTTTTCCCTCTATTTTTCTCATTCAAAATCATGTAATCTATAATATAGTGCCATAATATAAAGAAATAATAATATTTTATAGTGATTATACTATGAAATACCAAAAAACAGTAACAGCAAACGTATCACGCGTCATGTGTATCAAATACATTGCGCGGTTTTAAAACTAAAAATTGTTAATTATATGGCTGTGCTGCATTTCCGGCGGGAAAATAATCTGCCATTTGATTCAGACCGTTTATTTGGATCAGATGTTTTTGTTTTAGCCAACCTGTCCCTTACACCCTGTAAAAATAGTGTCTCCTTACAAATGCTTCGAGAAAAGCGGCTTAACTTTTTCATACAATTTTGCGTAACAAATAATTATAAGCGATTCATTTATAACTTCTATATTTATTTAGTTTTATAATTTTTGCCTCTTTTGATTGCGTATAAACCCATTTTATTTATTAAATAATTAAAAATAGATACATTAAGATACATTGTCTGCGTAAGTATATAAAACAATAATAAAAAAAAAAGAGTCAGCTAATTTGATAATTAGCTGCGAAAAGTTGACACGTTTTTGAGGCTCGATACTCTATCTATATAATCTGAGGAATGAGTATACTTTATTTGCATTATACAATATAGGGAACAAGACAATTAATAAGTGTTACGATACAGTGTATGAGTACAGTAAGGCGGTTTTATCGATGACAGCAATCTTTTCAAGACAAGCTTAGGGTAACGAACTTATTGTTGTACAAGTAGGCATGATAATATTGTATAATTAAACAAGTTTGGAATAACAGCGTAAAATATTAAGGAAAAGATATTTCAATAGGAGCTATAAAGGTATGTTAGAAATTTATTAGGATTGATTCTGAAGGGCTGTTATGTAAGTTTAAATACAAAACCATCATTAAATAGGTTTTTTTTTATTTATTTTTTTATAATTATGTAGGTATATTAAATATTGTTTACGAAAAATAATATGTATAATATAAGTATGTATATATAATATATTATATGAGACAGACGTATTTATCCGGGTAGTCGTTTCATTTAGTCGACCTAAAGTATCAGATAAGAGAAGTTGGCTTTTGAAGTTGTACTCTAATTGGTCTATAGTCTAGATACTTACGTATTTGCCCGCTAGCCACCGCATTATATTCGTCTGGTGAGTGCTGTACTATTAAATCGATGCGCTCTTGTAGACTCAACAGGAACAAAACGGCTTCCTCACGCGTTACGCCCTTCATTTCCATATCGTTTACCTAACAAAGAAAAATACGCTATAAAAATTTCACATGATAAATGGTTATTTAAATAGGGGCTGCCGTGTGGTTCTAGCGTAGAATGGGCCACCGCTTCCTTTTCCGTGGGTGTTGTAAGAGGTGACTAAGGGAACTTGATGGTTAAAAGGTAAATACTCACAAGAATAATCACCAGAGGGAGACTTTGTACAAAAGTCGATTGCTTGGGTACCTCTGTCCCATTCGTGTTTCAACCGTGAAGCAGTTGTATTTGCATGACTGTGTTTCGGTTTGAATTTACTGGGTACAGAGAAATAACACCTGAGTCCTCAGGAATGGCAACGCATGGGGGGTATCATGGGCAAAACAGTATACTTTGTTATGTCCATGGTGCTGCTCATGTCTATGGGCGACGGTTACCACTTTCCATCAGGTGGGACGTCAGCTTGTTTGCCATTCTAAGTTGTATAAAAAAAAAATAGTAGCATCTCTTTTAAAACATCATCAAAGCCTAACTGCGGTTACCAACCCGCTGGCCAAGCGTGGCAACTACTGGCAAAATTACCCTTTCTGGGGGAGATCTATATTCAGTAGTAAACAGTTAACGGCTGATATGGTGATGATGTCATAATAAATTTTTATGGGCTTAAAATCGTTTATTTTTTTTTTAGTTTCACATTTATCATCCACACTTACATAAGAAGTAGCCAGCGGTATCGTGATTGTGATTATAATAAATAAATAATGAGATCGAATTCGGACCGTCTGCTCGTTTGCCTTCCTTATAATGATAAAAAAGTTCTAAACTAGTCGAGCATCCCCGAGTTTCACATGTGAATAAAACCGACATAATTACATTAAAAGAAGTTCTTAATTCGGTTGTAATTTCTTTATAGTTGTTATCTCAGAACTCCATCATTTAATATATAAATATATTTTTTTTTATCTGAAAAGAAATATCTATTTTTAGATTGGCCCCAATTGAAAATTTGTCAGAATAGTTTTTAAATCAAAATAACTGATTATATCACGATTGAAGTCTATTTTTTTTTCGTATAACAAAATCAATTTCAATTTGTTATATATACGTTGTTACCTTTAATATTTTGTCAGCGGGCTGTAAGCCTTGTAATGCTGCAGGGCTGGTAGGCTGGACTCCAGACACGAAAACCCCGGAGCGGTTGCCGCCACACAACCGGAGCCCTACAGACCCTTCTTTCTGGAAGCTGATCAGCCTCGGCTCGCTCCTGTATAGAAAAATATAGCATAATCGTATATTTAATATAAATAAAATGCCGTGTGATTTCGGTATAGAATAGGTTATCCCCTTCTTTCCTGTGGGTGTAAAGCGAGTTACGCTTTCGATTTACAGTCGCCAACTTACCTGCCAAACGTGAAAACTACTGGCAAAATTGCCCTTATGGGGGATTTTTTTTAAATGTTAGTAGTTACCTACCTAAGGGTCTGTTGAGATTTTTTTTTTTGAAAAAACAATGTTCGGACAATGTAAATAAAATTATGAGGCAATTATATCGTCATAGTCGTAGAACACTGACGGATCTTACAAAGATTACATATATAGATCCGTCAGTATTCTACGACTATGACGATATAATTTGCATATTTAAAATTGTTTTTAAATAATGTTATTTTTATCAAAGCATTGATGATGACACTGGTATTATTTATTATTGAGTTATAAATGATATCAGTGTAACAATAACTACGAGACCAAGTAAAGATAAAAATTAAAATAAATTAAATTAGGAATTAGACATGACAAAGAGATACTTACGGTGGTTTACTTCTTTGATTATTCATTCCTTCATCTTCATATAACTGTCTTCTGCTACTGTAATAATCTGGAAACAAAGTAGTTCCATTTGTAAAGTGAAATAAAAAAAATAAGTAATAGTTGTGGTCAATCTTTGAGTGTTGGCAGTCACACACACATACAAAGGGTAGCGGAATGAAACAAAATTATTGTAACAAAATAATCAACTTTAATAAATTCAATCAAATCATTTTGTTATTATATATTGGTTTACCGATATTTAATATATCCGTTATCAGGCCAGTATACAGAGAGAGACTTTGTACAAAAGTCAATTGCTTGGGTACCTCTGTCCCATTCGTGTTTCTACTGTGAAGTAATTGTGTTTGCATGGCTGTGTTTCGGTTTGAAGGGTAAGATATGGCGTGAATTTACAGGGTACAGAGGAATAACACCTGAGTCCTCAGGAATGGCAAAGCATGGGGGGGATATCATGGGCGAAACAGTATACTTTGTTATGTCCATGGTACTGCTCATATCTATAGGCGACGATTACCACTTTCCATCAGGTGGGCCATCAGCTTGTTTGCCATTCTAAGTTGTATAAAAAAAAATACAGATATTGTAACTGCAATGTACAGATATTGCTATATATTACTACCTCTACTTGTATAACGAGCCGCTTTGCCATGGTATTTCATGGAGATCCATTACCAACAGAGGAGCGTTAATGGATTATTAAAGTTGATAGCTGAATTTACAAAGGTGATGGTGATGATGATACCTTCAGAGCGCGGCGGCGGCGGTCGCGGCGGCTGGTCGAGCTCAGGCGCGGCTCGGCGGTCTGTCCGCACTGGCGCCGCTACATACAGATTCTGTCCGCTACTCGAGTAAGCTGATGACATCGGCTCCGTACCGCTGCTGTATACATTATGCGAACTGGCCTCTGTCAATAGATATATTTATTAATTCTTTTCCTCATTAATGGTAACATATAAGGGGTATAATAGATGTTACAGTATATTCTGTGACTCGCCAGCGTCTACCGCATCTATAGCGCAGATGGGGTTACGATTTCATTTTTTTCTATAAAAAAATATATTCTGTGATGAATGTGCTATGAACAACATCGCTGTCTTTAGACTTAAAAAAAAAGAACTTACCTAAACTATTATAATTGTTCTGAAAGTTCCCGTTGGTGACAGTCTCCTCCCTGATCAGTTCCCTCGTGACTACCAGGTTTAACCGATCCTTGCAGGACTCTATCAGTTTCCTTGCCTCCTTTAGCGTCATGGCGTCAGTAACGGCGGTGTTGTTTATTCGTGTTACCACGTCGCCTTCGCAGAGACTCTGCCCCGCTTGGTTGACCTGTTCCCGCGCTCTCATCGTCAACTCCTTGACGTATAATTTGCATCCTAAGACGATGCCAAAATCTGAAATGTAAGATATTGAAATTATGAATACCTATGTTCTTTCACGGTACACCCGGGTTGATAAATATGGATAACATCCTACAAAAGTTTTTGTTTATTTTCCTAGCAACATGGCATAAAGTAACTCTTGTAGCATGAACTTGTTTGTCAATTGTGGTCAATAAAATCTAAATTGTTTTGATACTACTAAGAATGGCAAACAAGCTGACGACCCACCTGATGGAAAGTGGTAACCGTCGCCTATAGACATGAGCAGTACCATGGACATAACAGAGTATACTGTTTCGCCCATGATATCCCCCATGCGTTACCATTCCTGAGGACTCAGGTGTTAATCCTCTGTACCCAGTAAATTCACGCTATATCCCACCCTTTAAACCGAAACACAGCTATGCAAACACAACTGCTTCACGGTTGAAACACGTATGGGACAGAGATACCCAAGCAATCGACTTTTGTACAAAGTTTCCCTCTAGTGAATTTATTTTAACAGGACAAAGAACAAAAATTTCAACAGCGTCTTGAAGTCATGATGGCTACCAAATGTACTTTTGAATTTAATATCAATATCAACCAATCTATTGCCAATGACAATTTTGTAATAAACTAATGTAACAAGAATTAGAAATTAAGTTAGAATTGAGATCGGTTTGCAATAGCAAGTTACTATGCATCTATTAGAACAATATGAAATCTTTATGTCGTTAGTATTGCAATTCCAAAATGCGAAACGTCCCAATTTCCGTATCAAATTATTTCAAGTCTAACCCCACAGATCCCAATCAGTTAAACGTACTAATATATATGTAGAACTCCTACAAAATGTTTCTTATACCTAAATCAGGGATGACAATCATGCTGCTCGAGTAAGTGGCCACAAAAACCCATATACGATTGCCTGAACTCCCATAAAATGAAAATCTTGTCATAATTTTGTAGTTAAATGATCTATGCTTTATTTATAAGGTGAACCTACCTTCTTTCTTTCCATTCCTAGTCAGCGCTAGCTTGATGGCTGTAGAAGAAGTGGACGGCGGTGCAGGCGCTCGCCTTCGTACCACCAAAGAGACTGTTGCTCCTGAGTCCCGCAACACCTGAACCGCGCGAGCGTACTCCACATTCTCTAATGGTACTCCATTGACTGAGGATATTCTATCGTTTACTCTGTAAACAAAAATAAACCTTGAATGAATTCTGGTATCTTTGCAGAGTGTTTTCATAAAAGCGTATGAATGTCTGAATGCTAAAATTGACAAAATGTATCTGACGGTAACATTGGAGATTCATTATTTTGTACATCAAACGTAACTGTATGGGCATACGCTTTTAGCCTTTGTTTACCAGAAAAAAATTATCAACAACTGATCAATTGCCTGGTTCCTTATAACATAAGGTCCTAGCAATTGACGTAATTATTATTAATATTTTGAACTAGTTCTCTGCTAAAATAATCTGTACTAGGTTAGGTCTTCAGTACTTACTGCAATTTATCCTCGGCAGGTCCGCCGCGTAGTACATCTGACACAGCGATAGAGGGATCTCCACTGGCAAAGTGTGGGTTGTCCCTGCCACCGGACACAGCTATACCGAACCCGTACCCCGGGACGCGGTTTAGTCGCACCCGATGCGTCTCCCAGCCAGCATTGCGCTCTGACGTCTGGAAAGATGAGAAATTTAATTAATATTGATTTAATAAAACCATATTATCAACACCTTAAGATAATGCCGTTCCTTTTAATCACTAAAGAACATATTATGAGCATATAAAACCATTACAGTTTTACAGATTAAATTGAGCAGCCCTGTATATTGGCACTAAAAGAATAGAAGAAACAAGCCAGTTTGTAGTCAGGACCTAATCCTGTCAAGTTTTTAAGTGTAAATAAGTTTGTAAATAAGAACTATAAGGAATGTTGAAAAAGATGTCCTAGCGGGAATAGATAGATAGATACCGTTTATTGTTTCCTCCATAAGATTACAATAGCAAACTTACTATAAATACAAACAATTACATGAAAATATTACACTAAGAAAACAATGGGTGGCCTTATTGCTAAGAGCGATCTCTTACAAGTAACCTTTGGTTGAAGAAATGTAATTTAAACAGTTTGACTGGAGGCAAGAAACTCTGTTCGTTTTTTAAATACATATAGATATATAGCATACGTATAACGATGTGAATATATAAATGTAGCACAATACAACGGAACAAATAAGGAAACCCTCAAAATCCTTTGCCAAGAAGCCTAACCAGTGTTGTCTTACAACTTGCTCTAATCGAGTATTTAGAAAGGCCTGTGCACAGTAATCTGACATCCGTGACTCCTGAAGGTGGTAGTTATGCAGACTGTACACTTTTTCTTAAAACTTAATGTTACGTATAGGTAAAAAAAGGTCTTCACGCCACATATAGGTAAAAAGTTAGCATGTCTAAACTTATTGAAATATGTTAAATGCCTATCTGCGAATTTTAAATCAATCTGTTTTACCGAAGCATCGTTTCGTTCAATATACGACTGTTTCTTTACTAATTAGTTACTGATATTTGATATGTTAGCTTTTCTTGGAAAAATATTCAATTTCACTTGTCAAATCAGTTTTTCTAAACGACCGCGAAACAATAATCTATATTATCTATATTAATATTAAAGAGTTAAGACTTGATTGTTTGTTTTGATAAACTTATAAACTAATAGATCTATATAATAAATCTATAGAAAGCTACATTGTTAGTAAGTAACATGAGCTAAATATTACTGTTCTATCATTCAAAAATATATATATGGTAAATATATTTCAAAAATCCTATCTACCCGTGTAAAGCAGGACCAATATAAGACGCTGTGTTTAATTTACAACTGACTTTGATGATTGTTTTTAATTAAAAAAAAATTGTCTTTGTTCCATATTATGAATTAAAAAAGGAAAGTTGTGCGTAGACGCATGCATAGAGGTTAAGACCTATTAAGGATTATAGTCGTAAAGAATTTATTTTTAATTTTCAATGTACGAGTAAAAACTAATAAAGCCTCATTTAAATTTGTCAAAAATCTGGATTATGAATGCTAAAATTTGTATTTATAATAAACTACTTTATCATTTTCCCGCGACTTTGTCCGCGTAACAGAGATATATTTACTGGCCGGAATAAGTCCCATCTAGTACGTGTAAACCAAATTTCATAATGATTAGTTTATCCGTTAAGACGCTTATACAGTAACAAGCAAACAAACTCACTTCCACATTTATATTAGTAAGTAATATTATTATAATGATAATACCTATATAATATTAAGTTACAAAGTATAAATTACGACGGGACTAATATCTCATAAGTACGAACCTAAGCTCTATAAAAAGAAAAAAAGTCGTAAAAAATATTATTGCCTTCGTAAATACATTCTCTAACCAACTAAGTCCATCATCATCGTAAATATTTATTACTAAGTGGGTACTTATCTGCCTACATTCTTTTAAACAATGGCTGTACGAATGTTGTATTTGCTCAACTGTGAACATATTTTGAAATTTACAAACCGATGACCTATAGTGGTGGACTTAGAATAAATGGTTCCACTAGGCATTCCCACGTAGTTTGGGCACTCCCAATAAGCATTTGCAAGCCTAGCCCTTTCTCAGTAGGCTTCATTAATAATTATCTATGGATTCTATGTAATCTATGATAATGTTTGTGTAGGTAGGTTTGTATATATAAATTAATTACTGACGCTGTGAATATTTTTGGTGTTGAAATATAAAATCGGTTAGTACCTTCAGTCTACTTAAGTTTTAGTTTATATCTTAAATTTACCGCGTTATAGTCGACTTCAGATATAGATCTTGTGTCAGTCTTCCCTTGTGTCTTGTGGAGGATGTACAAAAATACTCATAAGGGATCAGGAAAATCACTATCTAATCTACGTAGTAGTACTAATTTTGTGAGTACATAGTGTGTACAAACAAGAACACATAGATTCCAAATGCTGGAACTAACCGGATAAAGGATCTAATTCCAGCAAAGTAACATAACGTGTGTATCAATGCACCTTGGTAATCGTCACAGATAGAAGTAGACATTGTACAAAAGTGTACTACCGCTAGCAGTTCTGCTTGTAGGACTGCGTTTTGATTTGAAGAGTGGGATATAGCAGTAACGTATACTGCCATCCTCCCTTAGAAATAACAATGTATGACAGCGTCTTAGTATATTCTGTGGAACTCAAGCTGGGACCTAGTACAAACTAATAGTCCACTTGACAGAAATCAAGTGTACTATAATTTTTATATTCCAGGCAACATAAAAATAATAACATAATATTGTTATAACTAACTAACTTATATCCTTCATTTTATATCATTCCAATCGACATACGAGTAGGTATAAATCAATCTGGCACAAAAAACATATTTCTATGATACTGCGTATACAAACCTGCAACCTCTCAAATCCGAAGTTATCCAGTTTCATATTGGGGCCGTCACACATACCAATCACATTAGTCACCCCACAAACGTAAGGCTTGCACTTCAAAAAATGCAATTTAATAAGCTGATTTACGCATTATTTCTATTCAAACAATATATTTATCTTCTCTTAACTATTTTAGTTATGTATTCAAGCACCGTATTTGCGCATTAACAAATCTTGAAGAGTATATTTATTAATTTTATTTAAATGATATGCCAAAGGCTCTCTGTAGGCGTGTGTTGTCGCCACTCGCCGCACTTTACATATAAGATCAGAGAACTGCTTCGTATAAAGCACAGAGGCACTAAACACATTACCACATCGAATCAAAATGACACATCACATGGTAATGTTTCGAACAGCGAGAGGGTCTCTCAAAACGGTTGTTTAAACCAACTTTAAACAAGTGCACAAGGTACTGCTATGCAAATGATGGCTTTGTTTACTAAAAAGTTAGCGGAGCGGTAGCTGTCTGTGATGAAATAGATCAGCGAAGAAAGTATTGACCAAATATCTGTTGGAATGAGGTAACAAAACCGGTTATGTGTGAGTAGATACTACCTACATATTTAGATATGTTTATTATTTTATGTGTTAATTAAAATGAAAAACAAAGTTTCTGTGGGATATTGTAGTAAAATTACAAAGTACCTACGGGGTGTAGCACTGCAGTCCTCGGGAATGTCAACGTATAAGGGGTACGATAGGTGGTACTATGTAAATTGTGACGGTCATTGTTACTGCTACTCGCCACATGTATAGGTGATGATTACCTACCACTATGGTAGTCTGTGATTGCCATTTACTATCTAATGGGTAACAGTCCATAGCTTGCATTAAACAAAAGTAATTTGACCAGAATAAATTGGTTCGTCATTGATTGCAAAATATATCTAATTAAATTATTTGTTTTAAATTGTCGAAAATATCTCGTACCTAATTAAAGTCGTTAAATCGCATATTTACATAAAATACGTTCGAATTGAGAACCTCATACTTATAAATCGTTTAAAAATAAAAATATATGGCGAAATTGTTAGGTTCGTGATGATTCATACCGTCTAAGTTAAAATGACGACGGACCGGCACAATTTAAGATTTATCAAATACCGATTCGTTTTTTATATTATGTCATGGACATTAAACCGGTTTTACAGATGAGACTCTAGCCGTATAAATAAATAACAACTTGATACAAATAATTGTGTTGAACTTTTGTGTTCTTCTCTCAGCCAAGTTATTTTATAACTCGAAGATTTTTTTAATAGATGACAATAGAATGATAACCTCGCCTGCGCTAATGGTAGCTCATCGTAATGAATACACCAGGAATTCAGTACGATGGTTTCCAGGAGGACTACATGGATGACCTGACCTAGGGGGGGGGAGAGATTGTTAGCAATGGAGTTTAATAGCCCCATTGCTAGCAATACGCCTTATTAGGTCGACCTCCACGTGGTTCCCCCTGGAAACCATTGTGAACAATTCTTGTTGAATTCGTCATGATGAACTAACTGACCTACTTCATCCTCACCTATTATCTTTCACTGGCGCCCCGCCGGTGTATACCTTTAGCGCGGGTGGGGTTGCCATTCCATTATCACCCATAAAAAAATGATCTGACCTGCTAGCAATGGGACTGGTATTCCGCATTGAACAATAAGAACCCTCGAAAGTAGGATGTTTGGAATGGCCCAACCAGACCCGAATTCGATTTTCGGCCGGGTTAATTTCGGAAACGAATTAATCTTAATTCATTCAGGTTTGGTTATTTTGTGTCCCCAGATATACGCTGTTTCACTCCTCATAACATAGAATGTATGTATAGCAACCGGTGTAATTGTGTTTAATAATTATTTCTCACTACTAATATTATGTAAATGAGAAAGTGAGCTTGTTTGTTAGTTGCCTGTTAGCACTTTAACGGTTCAACCAATGGTCGTGTTTAGTATACAAATTGTGGGTATTTTGGGTGGAGAGGGATATGAGTTACTTTTCCAGTTAATCAACATAATTATCCTTACATGAACGAAGTCAAGGAGGAATATCTAACCAGAAATTTATTATTTAATATTACAATTCGATTTTTGGGGGGAAAGCATTGTTAGTAGTCCATATTGTTATCAATATACCCTATCAGATCGACTTCAACGCCATTCTCTTTGGAAACCATCGTGACTAATTTATCGTTGAATTTGTCATGATGAGCTAACTGACCTGTCTTCATCCTCATCTCTCATCCCTCACTGGTGTCCCGCTAGTGTATACCGATAGCGTAGACGGGGTTACCATGCCATTATCATCCATTAAAAAATAATTCGATTCGTTGAACAAGGTATAGTATCAATTTATATACCTAGATCGAATTCCAGTTATTTCACAAAGCGGACGAGTTCACGGTAAAGTAGGTATGCGGTCACATCATTATTCTTGCAGTGCGTGTGGATACTACATTAACCTATTACCTGTGTGTAGAATTCGATTAATTTTAATATAGTTCTTATTACGATGCAATAAGTGGTAAATTTCGTGAACACAATGTATTGATACATGCCAATAATTTTGTATTGGTAAACGAACAATGGACATTCTATCCCATCGTCCAAGCTAAATGTACTTCAGCATGGTAAATAAGATCTTAACATTTGGACATTAGGTAGAGTTTAATTTGTATATATGAAAAAATGGTACGATAGAATTTGTATTATCCTATTAACGATGCAGCACACCGCCCCATATCAATGTCATAGATAAAAATACCAAACCAAGTTGAATGATCTGTATAAAGGAAATAAATTAATTATATAGTCACTGTCACGCTCCGAAGAGGGGAAGGGACTGTTAGTGATGAGGAGGTTTGTCCCCATTGCTATCAATATTCCCTATCAGGTCGATCTCCACGTGGTTCCCTCTGGAAACTATCGTCACTAATTTATCGTTGAATTCGTCACAATGGCCTAACTGACCTATCTTCATCCTCATCTCTCACTGGTGCCACGCCAGTGTATACCGATAGCGCAGGCTACCATGATATTTTCACCTATTAAAAAAAAGACACGTTCCTAATACTTTGTGTTACAATAACTTCGTGTATTTAAATTTATGACAAACTCCGGTAACAAATCAAATGAACACGAAACAGAAACTTTGTCTTTTTCCAAGGAACTTTTAAAAAAAATATAATCATTGAACAAGAAGATAAAGACAAAATATTGTAGTTATAATTCGGTCAAAATTTCGCAGGTATTAACAGCGATATTTTTCAGATATTTTTTTAAAGAATAGGGAAATAACTACATACTTTGACGAGATTTCCGAGAAAAATACTAATTTAAGTAAATAACTCATTTACAAGCATTTTTGTCTCATTTTTAAATGTCTATTATTTATGTCTAACAAATGCACACAAAATTTATAGAATTACTAGTTTTTACCCATAACTTCATCCGCATACCGGGATATGTTGATTTACCAGGATAACCAAAAAGAGACTTTGTATAAGTTGTTTGCTTGGGTACCTTTGTCCGACTCATGTTTCTACCGGGAAATAGTTGTTTGCATGATTGTGTTTCGGTTTGAAGGGTGGGATATGGCAGTGAATTTACAGGGTACAGAGGAATAACACCAGAGTCCTCAGGAATGGCAACACATAGGAGGGTATCATGGATGAAACATTATACTCCGTTGTGTCGATGGTACTGCTCAAGTCTATAGGCAACGGGCATCACTTTCCATCGGGTGGGCTGTCAGATTGTTTGCCATTTTAAGTTGCATAAAAAATAATAATAATAATATCCTATATCCTCCATCCAAAATACATTGTACTTACATACCAAATTTCATTACCTTAGATTATAGAGGTAACAAACAAATTCACTTTTACATTTATTATTAATATCAATTAATATTAAATTTTAATCATATGTAATCAAAATTTGTTACTATACTATTTTATATTTCAACACTTGTCCAACCTTGGTACAATTTATTACAAAAATCAACTTATTAAAAAATTTCATTAAGATGTAAAATTTATTAAAATTCCAATGCCCAATATAAATTTATGTATGTATTAATAAAGCGGACTTAACACCAGTTCTTTATCAGTAAATTTGAATAAACAGAAAAATGGTAGCATAAAAATAGTGGTTCACAAAAAAGCCTACTTTAAATTGGTTTACAACTGATGAATTAAAAAAAAAATAAAAAAGCAATTGAATTGGGAACCTCCTATGAACTTTGAATGTAATTTTGTATATATAAATTTATTTAAATAAAGTTATAATTTAAATATCAATGAAATATAAAATTATAATTTAAAAAGATAATATACCTATATACTTATTCTAAAATGCACATGTATTTTAAATTTATGTAATTTTGTAAAGAAATAAAATAACCATTTATAAAATAAGTTTTAATAAAAACAATAGCACTTAACAACAAATATAATAATCCATTATGGATATCCCTTCAGTGTTGATAAATTAGCACCCTTAAACTCAAATACTTCCTCTGGATTGGTTTTAAGATTTTCTATCAATGCATGTTTATTAAATTTGATCTCATTGAAATAGTCATTTTTTATTAACTTGATTTTCTTTATAATTTTGTTACGTAATGTTATCTCCAAATCAGGATCATGCAACATGTTTGAGAGGCATTGCAAGTCATCCGGCAAAACAATGCCATTTCCTTCATATTCAATTAAGATATTTTTCTCTGCTTTTTACTAGAGCTGCTTTTTAACTTCTTCGGGCATATATGTTTATCAAAATCTGATTCTTTTGTGATTTCCATTCCATCATCATCATAAATTATCTTCTTCTTTTTTGAACATGTACATTTTTCTTCATTTCGTATGTCATGACTTGAATTTGTTTGACTGTGAAAGGGACTGGGTTCCGCCTCAGAAATATCAAGTAAATGACCATATTTCCTTTCTATTTTCTTCACTATTGCTTTACACTTATTATATACTGATTTTAACTCTTCTAAATCACTCTCGCATATAACGTTATTGTCATCAATAGAGCACGTTTTCAAGTTTTCACCAGTATCGGCTGTAGAAATCGAGGATTTTTCTTCTAACGTTATACTTTTCTCGCGTTTCCGTTTCTTCTTCTTAACATTTTGTTGTAATAATTTTGTAGCTTCATTCGAAATTATGTTTTCATTATTATTTCGCTTTATTTCTTTCATGTGATTTTTCACAACCACATACTGGTTAATCTCAAATTGAGGTTTGATAGAACCAAAAGGCATTTCGAAGGAGTCTAAATTGTGATGAACAACCATTACGTTGTTATATATTAAATTTTTTCGTAATTATAATATATTCTTACAAAATAATGTATATATACGAAAACCACACTAAATCGCCATTTTCTAACACCGAGTTCAACATGAACATAGGCAAAGAGCACAATATTTGACAGTCAAGTTAGGCAACCGAGACAACGTAACCATGGTGTTGCCAGTTATCAGAAATAATTGCTATTGATAAAAAATTATGAATTAATTTTAAAACATAAGTACTTTAAATATAATATTGTCCCTATAATATTATTATTATTCAAAACACATATATTACTTTTTTTTTAGTTTATTTGTTGATTTAAAAAATACACAGGATGAAATAAGCAGATGTATGTAAAATTACCGTGCCTTTTTTTCCTTAATAACAGGTTCAACACAATTTAAAAAAACGAACTTTACCAAATTAAGTGTGAATGTTTGGTGCTTCATAAATATTTTATCGGGATTTCTTAGAAATTTAAAAGATATTCTGATTTGAGACCTTAGGCCAAGTATCATACCAATTGTCTAGTTATTAGACAATTAATGAGAGTGGATGGCATTTATTTTTTATAAGAACTGAAACAGTAATGATGATCCAGTTAACGCAGTAACAGTAAATATAATATACTGTGAAGATAATGGTAACTGGTAAACTTAATCTTAAATGTCCCTATAGTTTATTATATTAACAATTTGCTAACGATTCAGTCATGGTTAAAAACTAAAATTGTGATAAAATCTAAGAATTAAAACCTAAACCAAAATTTTTTTGGTCTTACCCGTCGTGGTAGGAGGACGCACCTAAACATTAGTGCAATGACAAGTTGACTTGTCACTGGTTAGCAGTGTACTGGTTACAGTACCATTGCACTGAATAAATTTATTAATCGATAAATCTGATATGGAACTGAAATTTACAAAACTAATAATTTGTATAGCTAAGTATTATTGAGTAATACACATTTGAAAGTTAAATATTTTAATAAACATTAACAGTTTTTCTCTTTATTTTTTCGTTTTTTCTTCTTTTTAGGTACATAAGTATTATCTGATACATGTTCTTGTATCTCAGTTACAAGTATTTCAGAATTCATATTGTTCTGGGCATTGTTTTCTGGTATATTTGTTTCATTATTGTCATTATCTATGTGTTCAAGCAAATGTTTCTTCTTTTTAGATTTTTTCACTTTAACTATTTCCACTTCAGTGAGTTCTATATTATCACATATATTGCTTTTCTTGATTTTAGTCTTAGATTGTAATAAAACTTCATTATCACATGCAATAGTTTCAATTTCAATGTTTTTTGATTTTTTCTTCTTTTTCTTCCTGACTTCAGTACTTAATTCAGATTGATCTGTTTTATTTATATCAACGGCTTCTTTCATATCATGTGTTTTGTAAAATGAAAATGTTTGTAAACTTTGATTTTCACGATCATCTGCTGCATCAGTAGTGGTCATTGAAAACCCTTTAAAAGCACAGTCAGCTTCATCCTCATGTTTTTCACTATAGACTACAGATGTAATTTTATTTTTTGATTTAAAGGCTGCTAACTTATTTTTAAAATAATCCTCCATACTGCCTTTTTCAGTGAATATTTGCTCAGTAGTTATTACATCTTCTTTAACTGGTTCTTCTGATTTTTCTTCTTTAAAACTTTTTTTACCAAATATATTGGCCAAATCTTTTTCACTGTACCGGGTAATGTCTTTACCTCTTGTAAATTTATGATAGTGAACTCTTGCTTTACTCTTTTTTGACTTTACTTCCAATGATACACCACTATGAAGTTTCTCTCCCTTATCATCGCCTGCAATGTTTTAAAAAAAAAATTTTACTAAATATTAATTATTGGTCATTATATAAAATAAGTAAAACTTTATACAATTATGTTTCTAATAGTTGCTTTTTATTATTTTTTAATTAAATTTACATTGAATTACATAGTAAGAAATATAAAATAAATATAAATATCCATTTAATAAATAACCTAATTAGATTTCCATTTAGAAAACTTGCAAAACATTTTTATTTAAAAAGTCTAGTAATAGTGTTTCGTATACTTCTTAGATTTGTACTAAATTATCAAATTTAATAAAACTCACTTGATTAACCAAAAAATAAAAACATCGATTGCAATAGTATTGATTACTTACCATTGGATAAATTTGCTAACAAAGCATTAAAATCGTCTTCATGCTTGGTCCATTGATCATTTTTATCCTCGTAACCCAATCCTTTGTCATCGTTTTTATATTTAGCGATAACATGTTCAACTATTCCATTTTCTTTGGCTCCTAACCCCTTTCCTTCACTCCAACCCATTTTTTCCAACATACGTTGACCAAACTTGTTCGTATCATTACTCCAAGCATTATTTTTCGCTCGTAAATTAATAACTTTCTGTTTCCGACGAGGTCCCGCTAACATTGACATGTTTTCATTTTATTTTAAATTTATTTAGGAACAAAAACGTGGAAACTATAGTCAAACACCAAAAACAAAATGGACGACGCACGCAATGTTACTTGTCAGAAATTAACATTAGACGCAAGTAGGCAACCTACTAATAAAAACTTTTAACTTCACTACAATGAAGTTCGCACGCTAGCTTACCGCATTTAAGATTGTGAGTGGCTGACACGTTTTCGAAATACAGTTGTTTATGTTGGCACAGCTACTTTAATCTTTGCACGTATGGCAGCACTGTGCGTTTCGATTTGTTGCCGACACGTTTCGTTTCACGAATGAGAATGACAAATAAATTATTATTCTTGTTTAATTTGAAGTAAAAATGTTGAACAGTAACTTTTAAATAAAAATATTTTAATGGCAGAAAACATTTTTAACAATATATTTATTCAAAGTAGTTTGTTATTTATCGAAAATATATAAAACAAAAGTCTATACCTGTCCCTTTCTCGGCTTACTTCTAAACTACGCAAAGCTAAATGTTTCTCTGTCATTTAAATAGGCATTTTTTACGGAAGTTTTCTTAAAGGGTAAAAATAGGATGGTAACTCCGCGTACGCTACCGGTATTATGCTGGTAAGGTACCAGTGGGTGATGATAGGTGAGGATGAAACTAGCTCAGTTACTCAGCCTATTGTGACAAATTCACTAAGAATTAACTACAATGATTTTCAAGAGGACCGCGTGGAGGTCGACTTAACCGAGCATATTGCTGGCATTTGAACCGCTAGTTGTCACTACGAACAATCTTTTCGTCTTTACTGATAGTTTGTACAAGTACCTACATATAGGAGAAGAAGGGATTATTAGTAATGGGGATTAGTAGCTCCATTGCTGGCAATATACCATCTCAGGTCGACCTCCCCGCGGTTCACCCCTAGAAACAATTGTGCTCAGTTCCAAGTAAATTAATCCATTAAAAATATACCTTTCCCCTAGAGTATATAAGTACTTTTTTTAATGGATGATAATAGAATAGTAACCTATAAGCCTGCGCTAACGGTATTCGCTGGCGGGATACTAGTGAGAAGTGATAGGTGAGGATGAAAAGGCAAGTCAGTCAGTCAGTTTTTTCCCTTTTTGATAAAGTAGTAATTTCTGTCGCTATCTTTGAGGCGACAACTTTCTCAGCTTTTTTGTTTCGGTTTGAAAGGTGGGATATGGCAGTAAATTTACAGGGTACAGAAGTATAACACCTGAGTTCTCAGGAATGGCAACGCATGGGCGAAGCCGTATACTCCATTATGTCCATGGTACTGTTCATGTCTATAGGCGACGACCGCGGCCTATAGACATGGCGACAGCCATGCAAACACAATTACTTCACGGCTGAAACACAAATGGGACAGAGGTGCCCAAACAAACGACTTTTGTACGAAGTCTCCCTCTGGTAAACTTTGTTATTTTTAAATAATCATCATAACCTATCTTCGACCACTGCTGAACATTAGCGACTCTCAACTTCATACACTATAAAGTCAACAATTCCACGCCACTTGCCTCTATCGTACTCGATAGAGGCAATACCTTCGAGATCGTCACTCCATCTCGTGGGGGGTCGCCTCACACAACGTTTGCCTGCACTGGGTCATTTTTCGAAGACCTTTTCCCACTACAGTTGTTGGTTAATTACTTTTATAACTTGATATATTTTTTTCTCAACTATTTCCGTTTATAAATACATCATAAGAAATTACCATGGTATACACAAAAAATTATATTATTTACCGTAGCTTAAAAACGTTATTGGTCGTAAAACGATAATCGCTTTGTTTAAGTTCGAGAGCATCCAAAAGCATGCGATACGCTTGTTACATCACGAATCCGATGGAACGTGATAGCGTGATGGACCGCACAATTGTTTAGGGTTCCGTACCAGTAAGGCATAGGCCCTTATGGTATGAAAAACCGAGATTCCAAAGTACTGCTACTATTATAGTCTATTTCAATAGATCTTGATGAAAATGTAAACAATCGAATAATTGACTAGAATATAAGATATATGTTATGATAATTTCATGCTAATTATAAATAATACGTAGTACAAGTAAAATAATCGATTGATGGATATTTCGATTTGTAAGAAATCAAATATAAAATATGAATATAAAATAAAAAAAAATATAAAATATAGAGAAATATAATAAAATATGAAATAATTTCATTTAGAGTCTGTTTCTGGGACAGGCGCAGGTTTCATTTTCATTAAGTTTTATAGAAACAAACTATGATTCAAACGGGATATCGTATAAAAGGGTTCCATTTGTGCGTTGTAAATGTACTTTGTATATTTTTTATTCAGAGTACTTAAAGAAATGTTATAAAATAACTCATCTGCGAAGATTGCAAAACGAAAAATCTGAAATAGAACTGCATTTTTGCATAAATACATTAATGATAAAGAAATATTTACTTATTATAAGAAAAATGTTTTACAATGTTTTCAACTACAACAAATCCTTCATTCAATTACGTAGGTACGAGAAAAAAAAAACTAGTGTAAAAATTAATATTTGAAAATGACCCAAACAGCGAAACCGGCTAGGAAATTATTATAAAACTTTTTTTTTGTGAAGAATAAACGTGTTTTCTAATATGTAATATCAATATATCACAACAAAATCTTCCCTCTTCACTTGGTTACCAGTTTTTCAACTGCAATTTTAAGACAAAATAAAATATTCTCATTACATTGATCTCAAGACTATAACAGATTTGAATGTAAATAAATATACATCATACACATAAATAATATCATAAAAAAGAAAACAAAAACTTTTTTTTATACAACTTAGAATTGCAAACAAGCTGACGGCCCACCTGATGGAAAGTGGTAGCCGTCGCCTATAGACATGAGCAGTGCCACGGACATAACAGAGTATACTGTTTTGCCCATGATACCCCCCATTCGTTGCCATTCTTGAGGACTCAGGTGTTATTCCTCTGTACCCTGTAAATTCACACCATATCCCATCCTTCAAACGGAAACGCAGTCATGCAAACACAACTGTTTCACGGTAGAAACACGAATGGGACAGTGGTATTCAAGCAATCGACTTTTGTACAAAGTTATTACATTATTAGTACGGAATCCTCAATATTCGAATTCAATTCACACTTGACCGGTTTTTTATAACACGTCTAACCTGGTAAATGATCTGTGGAAGTTTAAATATATAATAATTTAAACGCTTATATTTGTACAGGAGTACTTAGTCCACTTATTTCGGTATATTCGTTAGTATCAAATTTAGGAGGAAGGAGATTGTTAGTAATGGAAGCTAAGGGTTGTTAGTAATGCAAGCAATATTTTTTTATAATGGATGATAATGGAATGTTAATCAGTGGGGGATGATAGGTGAGAACGAAAAAGCTGGTCAGTTAGCCCGTCGTGATCAATCGTCGTGTATTCCCAGTGTGGGAATACAGCAAGCACGTTTATAGTTCATGTGCCGGTTATTACAAATTAGTTGACTAGGCACTTTATTGTGTTATTACATAGAGATCCTTCGCAAAGTGCCTGCTTAGCTAATAGTCTTTGGTTAACCACGAAAATAAATTCCAATTAATAAGGTTAAATCATAGATTCTCAAAGTGACGAACGTGGATAATAACGCCCCCTTGTGGGCGTTCGAGATTTTCAGGGCAGGGATTTTCTACTTTAATTAAGAGGAGAGAGATGACGACATATTCAAATATAACTGTGGCGATAGCTGTTTTAAATTCATGACATATGGTAAATACGAGTAAAATAAAATGAGGGACTTTAGGAAAAAAACATTGGCAAAGTGGGCGGAGGGCAAAATAAGGTTGAGAAACTATGATTTAGACTCTCGTTTTGAGTCTAAGAAAGTTTGCTGGTGAGTACAGAAACACTTGGCACGACTTAAAAGTATACAATTTTCGTATATGAACATTAAGAACATTAAATTTTATGTGTTAATAGCATTCGCTATATTTAGGTGTCACAGAAACAGGTTTCCTTTAATGTATAAATTGTCATTGACCTTGTCGCAAAACTCGTCGCAAAATTTATTTGCATTCGTTCAAAAATTATGCAAGAAGAATTTGATGATCTGATGAGATAATTGTAGAGGTAGTTTGTTTTCAGTGCTTACGCCGTAAAGGACACGGCGTGTAAACATATCATGGCTGATGGCTTAGTCTAGAAGCTATAAAAAAGTGTATGAAACGTGATTATTTCAATTAATATTGTTATTTTCGGATTGTCAAGGTTGATTGGAAGAAATCCCTTTAAGAGATTTATACTATGTGTTAATTACGATTTTAGATATATATGTATTGTATGAACTCACTATGTTGAAACAGTTTATCTTTGTGTAATATATGGAAGTAAGATTTATGTCTATCAAATAGTAAATTAATTTAAATGTAGAATATTAACATTAATTAATAAAGATCACAGATACTGCCTTTTTACGACATAGTTTATTTATTTATTTATTTTACATATTCATTTAGGAATAGAAATCCATATTAATATTATATAAACTTTAAAATAAATTTACGTAGTTTATTTAAATGGAAACGTGTACCTAGTGTATACCTTGGTCGCTAAATCATGAACGAATGGAGAAAACCCCTCCAACAAGGGACTTGCCCATATAAATAGTTATTTATAATTGAACTGTCAAACCTTAAAATCATTCAACTAAATTTCTATTGTAGGTAGTATATTAATTTAACATCTATTGTATAAGTAGGTAGGTATTATATTTATTTATAGCATATGTATTTATGTAATATTTTATTATGTATCGTAATATTTTATTTAACTGTATATTTGTTTATGTACTCTAAATATTAATAGTTGTAGCGTTTTAGCTACCCGCTAACAACATGCTTTCTAACAGCATTGGGTTGACTGGAAGAGATCTCTGTCAGAAATAAGTCCACCCTTGCTCACAATATTTATAAATGCATTAACAATGTTTTTTACAAGTGCAATAAAGTATATAACAGTTTACGACCGATTTTTCTAAGAAATAGTTCATATAAATCTATTTACTATTGTAATCTTTTGGAGAAAACAATATTGAGTATCTATCTAAACACTA